AGAACACCTTACCTGGGCGAGGATGAAAATGGTGAACTCATTGAACCAACTGCACAACAGATGAAAGAGCTCTACAAAGAGATCGGCCGACCAAATCAAAAGGACGACATCGGAGAAGAGGGATTCGTCAATGCATACTATGGGGCAGTGGTACTCAAAAGACTTCTCATATATACCCTTGAATGTGGCTACACGTATGATGACTTGCAAAACATATTCTTTGATGAGGAGATGGAGAAGCTGTCGAAACGTGACACCACAATGGATGAGATGAGAAAGACCACAGCGGCCCGCGACGCCCTTGACCGACAAGACGTCATGGTCAGAAGAATCATTGCAGGTGCATATAGGGTAAATGCTGTTTATTTCTTCAGGAACGTTGACTTTCAAGACACAATCACACTGAATCCAGTTGACATTGTGTGTGCTCTTCGTCCACCACTTCGAAGAATATCACTTTTACACCTGATCCTTCAGAATGGCCGACAATTGCCGCGACCTCTACTCCAAAAGCTATATGATGCGATCGATGACTACAATCACATCAAGCAACGGGAAGATCAACGACCAAGGTGGGGCATCCACTTGTCTGAAGCTCACATACTTGCGATTGCTGATACCCCGACTCCTGCTGATCGTGAACGTGCCAATCCAGCCGCTGGCAAATCGAAAGCAGCCCCGAAAGCTGCACCAGCACTGGGAAGAGTGTCGAAAGCGAAAGCATCATCATCAGCAACATGGAGAACAGTTGACACCGCTCCTCCGCCAAAACAAGCTCCAGTGACCCCGCCAAAGAAGGGTGGAAAAGACCAAGGAAAAGGTGGAAAATCTTATTCACACCGTGGCGGAGACTGGAACCAACAGGGATACTATGGATGGGGATATAGATGATTAAGCGATCTGACCTCTGCATAGGTCCTGATTGAACCTGGCGATGCGAGGATGCAATCATTGCTCGAGATTTACCTCTACTTCATTTTGAATGATTTCTGAGAGGACTCTGAGCCGGCTAATTTAGAACCACACATTTTTTTGAACATCATTGCATGAAACGCTGAGTTTCTACAGCGGTCTACGTCTCAACCGACGAAGGGACGGGAAGGTAAACTTCTAGTTCCATAGTCAACTTTGTGTTTTGATTTCTTTAATTCACATGCTTGAGTGAGACTCCATGCTGGCTACGCCACATTGGACGAACCTCAATGCTAGACACCGACTACGTCGTGTCTACATGCACGTGAACAAAACCTTCATTTTTTTTGGTAGAGATCGTAGCAAGCCGCCATGTAGATATGAAGTTCTGAACGGACTTTAGCTCTCCATAATTCAATAAATGAACAGCTGCGAGTGTAGTGGATCAATTCAAAGAACACTCCTTTGCGCGTAGCCAACAAAGTTGGCTATGCGTGGGGGGTGCGAATAGAGTGTAGGCTACGGATCAAGTATAATATCACAACTAAACACTCTGTGATCCAGCACCAAAGGGGCAATCCGAACTGGCCTCTTTGGCTCAAGACCCACTGCAGCACTGGAGAAAAGATCAGCAATGCGGAAGCAGCTGCCCGTGTGACGTCGTCGAACTGGAACATTTATCCTCAACATCAACCATTGGAACATAATCGGGTAGGCAATCCCCGATTCGCATATAGTATACATCAGTATTGGGTACCTTGGCACCGGAGCACGTTTTTCTTTCCTGAAGCCGAGGTCTTCTCAGATGTTGCCCGCAGCTTCGAAGATGCTTTCAGGTCCAGGCGTCGACAAAATGCTGTGGAGGTCTCACCATGTGGATATAACATGGATGTGTTGACTGCATGGGAAACGTGGCTTTGAACCAACCATAACCAACCACAATATGAATAGAATGGGTATATATATATATACGAGGGTTTTCATAAATGGGAATACGGGGATACTGTACCCCCATAGCTGGATGGTTTTAAATGGAAAATCCGAAAATGACATGGATGATTTGGGGGGTAGCCCTATTTTAGGAAATCACAATGTTGTTAAAATCAATCCCCAACATGAATGATCATCTAATTCAAAGTACTCCCCAGGGTTTCGTCTTTTTTCGGGTAGGTAATCTTAGGGAGTCAGGGTTTGCTTGATATCTGGTTTCTCCCCTTGATCCCTTGGTGAATTTCGGTCCGGAATCTGCGGTCAAAAAGACACAATTGAGCCGTTCAACCCCATGAACACCATTGTTAAACAGTTAAACCCCATTGAAACCCATAAACACATCCTTTAAGATAAAGACATTCAGCTGCTAAGTCTCAACGCAAAAATCATTATAAAATATTTTAAATCAAATCCATACCGAGCAGATTCACCATGAGTACTTCAGCACCATACTTCAGCACCCGGGGCCACCGGGTGAGGCTTGAAGAGGTCGACGTGCTGATGTGTGGGCAGCCGCTATGTGTGGCTCTCAGACCCATTTTGGAGACAAAATCCTGGTTGGTGACTTGGAACTTTCTCTGGTTCAGACTCTACATCCCCGGCGTTGCTTCGATCCAAAGTGTGAAGAAGAAGGCTCAAGATACTAGTTTAGCTAGGTAATTATGGGTAAACTAACAAAAACTTTGCCCAGCTTTTCACACCTATAAAAATCTACTGTGTATGTTCAACCCCTTAGCAGTTTCTCAAGTATTGACCCATCCCCATCTCAATTCATGTGTTTGAAAGAATGCTGCGCGTCAATGTATCGTTGCCGAGTGGACGCAGTGAAACGCTGCTGCTCCCGGAGCTTGCTACGGTGGAGGATTTGCAAATTCTGGCGCAGGAATCTTTCGGACAGAAGTTCTTGAGGCTTGTGACAGCCAAAAATCGCGCCCTCAGCAACCCCACGGACTCTTTGCAAGCTGCAGGGATCCAAGAAGCAGAGCAACTCACTGCAGTTGTGCAGCAAGCCAAAGTAGCTTCAACAGGAGGAGCCTTTGCAGTTTGGTGTTGCGGAGGTGACAGGATTGTGACATGGGGGAATCCAATGCAGGGTGCCAACAGCGCGGTAATCAAAGGTCAGCTCAGGAGCGTAGAACAGCTCCAGGCCACAAAACCCACGAATGCTGCATTTGCTGCATCTTGGACAATGGGTCCGTTGTTACCTGGGGCGATCCAGAATTTGGTGGTGATAGCTCGGCAGTGCAAGAGCAGCTCAGGAATGTGCAGCAGATTCAAGCCACAGATGCTGCATTTGCTGCCATCTTGGACAATGGGTCCGTTGTTACCTGGGGCCATCCAGAATTTGGTGGTGATAGCTCGGCAGTGCAAGAGCAGCTCAGGAATGTGAAGCAAATTCAGGCCACGAATGCTGCATTTGCTGCCATCTTGGACAATGGGTCCGTTATTACTTGGGGAAATTCAATATGTGGTAGTGACAGCTCGGCAGTGCAAGAGCAGCTCAGGAATGTGCAGCAGATTCAAGCCACAGATGCTGCATTTGCTGCCATCTTGGACAATGGGTCCGTTGTTACCTGGGGCCATCCAGAATCTGGTGGTGACAGCTCGGCAGTGCAAGATTTGCTCCAGTGTTTATAGCTTTGCTGTCCTTGTTTTGCCGCGATGGCTGGAGGAGAGCTTGCTAGAGGAAAAATACAGCAAACAACTGTCCTTGGGTCCTTCCCCACCAGTGAAGGCAGAGATGTCTACCCCCATGTCAAGCTGTTGGGGGCTTAAGATGCTAAAAAGGCAGTTGTGTTTTCCCAAGTCATACTGTACAAGTGATCACTTTGAAGAATCTAGAAGAGTAAGGGACTTCCGGACCAGGTTTATTTGGCCAGTTATTCACTACGAAAAAAAAAACATGGTTGGTGGTTTCAAACATTTTTTATTTTCCATACTATATGCGATAATCCTTCCCATTGACTTTCATATGTTTCAAGATGCTTAAAACCACCAGCCAGAAACATGTTAATTCCCTTAGAGGGGTTTGTTCTTCGGCGCCATGCCCATTGTCAACGATGGTTCAGGCGCCATGTTGGTTGCTCTACCATGAGTTTGACTGGGGGTGCGATAGGAACTTTTGACTGGTCGTTTCTTACTGGTGCTTAGTAGGGAATGGGTGGGTTGCTGGGGGAATGGGATGATTATTAATTACTAGTGATTGTGGATCATTCCCTCATTCCCTACTAAGCACCAGTGAGAATTTATCCGGCAAAGGTGTGCTTGACTAGTTTGTCTTTCCCAGATGCATCTGACATGACATTTGCAAGGATACATGTTGAAACAATATGGATATTGCAGCAAATCCGGTAGGCACAAAATATATCGGAAACTCATGGACTATCTTGTTTTTCTTCAAAGAAAGGTGCTATGGTACAGATATATGGCTTCCAAAGCCTTGATTTTTCCGAGATAAGTAAACGATGTGTGCATCCGATTTATGCCTATATTCCTGCACATGCTATGTGCTTTTTCTATCTTGAAGTTTGGTGATTCCTATATAGTTCAGGAACAAGATGGTAGCCAGATCGTTTGACATGTTTGCCAGTTGATCCCTGCTGGTTGATGATATAAAAAATGAACTGTAGCAGACTGTAGCCATCAGGGAAGGAATTCTTGGCTAGGTCCTGCTAGGTGCTGCGGTGGATTTGAAGGTCCATTTCTCGACATTTCTCGACCTACCATGGGGACCTGTGCTTGTTCGTTGATGCCGTGGTAAACCTGTCTACTAGCCTGTCTTTCTAGCGCAAGGAGCTAGAAACCATTTGCTGTGTGGGCTATAAAATCATCATTTACCTTCTGGTAATTTAACATAGCAATGGAAAGATCCACCATTTTCAATGGGAAAATCCACTATTTCGATGGCCATTTTCAATAGCTATGTTAAATTACCAGAGGGTATTCCATCCAGGTGCTGGTTTTTGGAGATTTGGTCCTAGAATGTCCCATGAATTCCCAGATGATGTTTCTCACTGCCACGGTCCAGTCGCTCAGATTGGTGTCGTTTCCTCTTGGGATTGCAGAAGACGATCTTCTTCTATGTGGGTTTGCCGGTGATGTGGGACAGCCTGGGTGGCGAAAACTTTCGGAGCTCTTTTAATGGGTGGCACAGTGGCACGACTAGTCACATAGTGATAGCTATGAAGATGCCAGTCCTTTATTTGATAACTAATTTCAGCCATTGCTGTTCGAAAAAATGCCATTATCAATCATTGATCTTAAACTAGTTGCATCATTTCAGTTCTAAGCCCAACTATAGATCTACCCTCACGTAAACTAGCAACAAAAAGCTATGGAAAATGTTCAGTTCAACAGATGAAACATCCGAACACCCCGTTCAGATGGGATCCTCCCGTGGCCGTCAGGATATGCGCGAAGAGGAGCGAGAGCCTTGGGCCCAGGATTTTGCGGAAATTCTCCTGAGTCGGGGATCCGAGGGCATCGGATCGATCCGACAAATCCATGGAGGATGTCCATGAGGGAAACTCTGGGGATGTCCGGAGAATATAGGGATTTTGATGGATTTTGATTTATTTTTCGGTTTGTAAAAAGTGAACTGTTGATGAACTGTTGTTTTTTTGGTGAACTTCGCCAAGAAACACAGTCAGGTGGCACCTCAAAAGTGTGTGAAGAGTATAATCTGGGATTGGTGAAGACCCAATGGTGTCAACCTGTGGCCAGCACAGTTCAAAGTTTCAACATTTTGATAAACATCTTGATGGGTTGAACCACTAATCATTGGTTAAGTATTTTGATGGTTAACCAATATAGGTTAGTAGTTAGTGGTTAAGTTCAGCATTTGGGTGGTCTGGATTCCAACAAAAGACAAACAGCATCTCACCTGGTGAGTTCCGTTTTTCTTTTTTTTTTTGTCCCGTGCTATGAGATGATCCTACTGGAAAACGCTGGCATAGCAGGCATAGCTGGCATAGCAGGCATGACGGCAATGGCAACCAAAAGAACCAGTGTTTTAAAGGTGTTCCCTCAGAAGGCTGCAAAGTAGTTCCTCCCCAGTTGAAGTAGTTGTTTTATAAGTCCATCTCTGTATATTTGAGTATGCTTAAGTATGCTTAAGGCATTTCATGACCAAAATCCCTACACTTATGACCATTTATTAACTGGTTATTTCTATGGGATTATACATTCTATAAATGGGGTTATCTTAGTACTTATAACTGGCAAAGGGCCATAACTGTAGTGAAGTTAATCATAACATATCATACCCAAAGGTAACTTGGCCAAGTCTGGGGCAAAAGCACTAGCTGTGCCGCTTCACCCAAGGTGAGCGCCATGTGGTCATTGCCATGAGCGTTCTCACGGTGCGAAAAGCCCAGGACCATCAAACATCACCGGAAACAGTAACATCTGAAAGAATCTACCCTCTGGACCCTCTGGTAATTTAACATAGCTATGGAAAAGATCCACCATTTTCAATGGGAAAATCCACTATTTCTATGGCCATTTTCAATAGCTATGTTAAATTACCAGAGGGTAAAAGATGTTGACTGGTTGACAATTGTTAAATTGTGGGGCTGTCCTAAAATGGGTACCAAATGATCCAAATGGGTAGGTACCCCCTTGCATCCAGTCGTCATGGACGACCATGGCTTAGTATTGAAACCTATGGGCCTTGAAACCTATGGACCTATGGTGATCCCGAAGTTTAAGAAACCACTCAAAGTTTGGAAAATGATCCGAACACATGCTTTTCACATGTGTTTCACTATGTTTTAAGCGCTTGAAGCCACCAAGAAAAGATGAGTACAACTAAGCCATGGGATGCTTATAAATCTTATAATGTCCGCCTGCTTTTATGGAGCTGGCAATGCATAGATCGCCTCACATTTGCAGATCGACTGCTATATAGATCTAGGGGCTAGAAAGTGGATGTGAAGCACTGAAGGGCATGTTTTTTTATGTTTTTTTGTTGTACACCAAGAGATTCGAAGAGTGATTTAGGTCAACTACCCATAACTACCCCACGCTGCTTACAGTTGTTGGAACTGTTGATGAGCTTTAGTTCACCACCAACAAACTACCATCATCCCTGTGGCATGACAATCATGAGTTTTAGCGTCTAGCTTTGAATGCAGCCAACGACCCCAAGAAGTGGGTTACAGGGGAAATTTGACTGAGGTTACCCCATGTTACCCCTATATTTTGGGGTAAGTTCATCCAGGTTTTCTGTGATTGCTCCAAACACATCAATCCATTGGATACCTCAAAATAGAAATGATGCCTCGGAAAATGAAGACAAGACATGGAATTCACTCCAACAATACTCTAAAATGGATTAAAATGGTCAGTTTACATCGATAAATCATGATTAACCATGGAAATCGATGGAAAAGCATGGAAATCAATGATGGATATGATATGAATATAGTAATTATACTTTAATATATATATATACATATATATATAATACCTATGTATATATATATATGAATATATGATGTCACGATGAATCCCAAGCCATCCTGAGGCACGTATCATCCATTGGCAGTTCGCTGTGCGAATCCCTGCGCTGCGATTTCTGGGTTTGCACACGGGCGCACTATACGCGTCCGGAAGACCCGGACGACCTGGACATGGATGGCATGGCGGAAGGCCTTGGGACGGTCCAGACTAAGTCCTGGAGCTTGGTGAAGAAATATCACCAAGAACAGAGGGTTGTTTCGCCGTAACTGTTAAGGAATTGTAAGAGTCTGTAAGTTGCTATCTCCAAAAACTATGGCAACTATGATATTTCAAAAACACAAAAGCCCCAGTTTCATAGAATTGGATTATGGGAAAATTTACAGGAAAGCCCTATATTTGATGGTAATTTTACCATGGTTTCCGGTTAAGATTTTCCCTTAAACCAATCCAGTGACAGTTACTATCGTTCAAATCCTTTTTTTGGGAAATCACGCATTCATCCACTCAGGCCCATCCGCCAGCACTCCGTTTTGGTGAGCCGCTTCGGCACCAGCGGTGCACTGTCGGAGCCACTGTTGGGTTGGGTGCCGGCTGGTGATCCAACGTGTGGGAAATGATGGGTTAATCATGGGGCCCAAAGGTACAAGTATTAACTTAGTATTAACGTCAAGCCCGGATTAACCAACCATGGTTTATTAATATTTATTAATGTTGTTAATTGGGGTATTCTCCAAATGACAGCAATTTGATGTGTAAATGGTACGCTTTACTGAAGCAGCATAGGGGATTATTAATCCAGGGTTGACATTAGTCATTAATCATGAATCTATAATTGTTGTTATAATAATTTATAATGATAGATTAATGGTGCCTTTTGTTAGTCTCACTATATAATAATGATTGGCGATGAACTTATGATTATGATGGTGTTGCTCCAAATTTTGTAGCCAAATTGATTCAGGTGTGTGGTAATTTCCACTAGTTGAATGGGTTCATAATCCAACATACAGCTAAGGGTGTCATATGGAACGATGATCATGATGGTCAACGATAATCGCAATGAATGGGTTCATAATCCATTACCCATAGGATCCATGTATGCTATATATGGTGACATTTACCATCAATATACCCCAAATGTTAGCATATATACCATACATGGATCCTATGGGTTATGATAATGATGGTTGACGATAATCGCAATGTAAGAGTAATTGTAATGGGCAAGTGGGACATTTTTGACAAAGGATGTTTTTAGGTCATTTGAGTCAGCCAGAATGCCATGGTCAGTTTTAGTGGGTTGAACCCTCCATTTATGGTCCACGACACGACTGATGGAAAATCATGACATGTAAGTAATGGTATACAATGGTAGCAGGGGATTTGATGGTCGTTCCGTTAGGATGGTCCCATTGTGGAATGGGACATGCCACTTTATATGCAGCATATATCATTAACTGATCATCAACAGTTGTATCATGGGGGTATCAAGCGGATCTGATAGTGATCGGATACTGATGCGATGAACCATCAGTCTGGGACCTGAAAACAAATCACTGCGGAATGTCGCTGTTACTGGTGGATGGGTCCTGTTACGGAGATAAACAGTCACATGTTTTGTTTTTTAACGCAAAATTCATCCGGAATTTGGACCCATCCTATACCCCTGGTGCATGGAAAATTATGCATGGCGCAGGGCGCAGTTGTCTTGTAGAATGGTTGACAGTTGATCCGCTAGTAGCAGTTTCTAACAAAAAATAGTGAGTCAAGAAACCAAACATTTGATGGAATGGTCTATTTGTATATCATCCAATAAACCTCGTGGAGGGTTTAAAATATTGTAATTCCTTTCCCAAAACATTCAAAACATCCGGAAAAAACTGGTTTAGTTTAGGATCTTTATTTTTGGTTCCCTAACATTTGGGAGTATTGAATATTGCAGGAAGGGTTTACTTGATGAATATGTACAAGGTACATAGATTGAAGTTGGTTTCAACACCCCATCCACTGTAGATATATGTATAATATGATATTTCTCTATAATATATACATTTATTTGGTATATCATGGTATATCTACTATACAACTATAGTTATCTTAGTTGTAAACCTAATTTGGTAAACTAACCTTGGCGATAGCTTTTAGAAGCCATTCCCATTACGTCAGGAGTGCATCTTCGACAGCTTTGCGGCGCAGAATGAGTGGTGAGGAGCTGAGCCATGCTGAGGCGCACTGGGGCAGTGCAGGTTAGTTACTTGTCAGATAGGTACCAGGTGGTGCCCGCTAATTACCGGTTCAAATATAGTTAGCTAGTCAATATTGGTTAGTTACTTGTCAATTATATTAGTATACCGGTTTTTATACTTGTTTAAAGTTCCGTTAACTATAATTGGTGGCTCAAGTCCCATTAACTATAGTTACATAGCTAATTATATCCTTCAAAAAAGCAAAGTTCACCAAATTAGAAGTCAACTGAGCTATCCAGGCGGCCTGACCTATCTAAAGGCGGAAGATTGGGGATGCTATTTTTCTCCCATCCCCCTCATGAAAAAAACTTAAAACAACACATCCATGTCGTGCATTAATTTAAGGATGGGATTACAAGTCATGAAGTGTAACAATTGACGACATATATATATATAAATATATACATTAATATATATATATAAATATATATACATTAATATATATGTATATATATATGCCGACTTGTAGATAAGTAGATAATATGATATACTGTATGTTTTTTTTTTGCAGTAGATATACATACAATTACATACATAAATATGTTGGTTTATCTATGCCAATGTTGATGATATATGTTGTGTTGCTCGCTCTCTTTGCCGCCCATCCGAGGTTCACGCTTCGCTTCGTCCAGATGGAGTCCGTACTCTTCGAAGAACATTTGGTGCGGACACCAATCGGGGCAGATGGGCAGATCTGCAGATCTGCAGAACAGACGATATCCACCGGGTTGGCCCATTAAAAAAAAAAAACAGGTTGGTGGTTGGGAACATGAATGTTATTTTCCATTTCATATATGGGATGTCATCCTTCCCATTGACGAACTCATATTTTCAAGATGGTTAAAGCCACCAAGCAGAAACATGATTGTTTGATATTGCTATTGGCTTAAGATCCTAATGAACATAGACCCTGCCACCCATGAAGTCAAAATTCACATGGTTGATCTCCCATATTTTGTGGGTTGGCTCATGTCAAATCACCGCTGAGCACCACTATGCAAAAAAAAGTTGATGGAGATGACCATGAATAATGACATGGAAGAACATATTAATGTTGGGTATAACCCGATTGATTGATAAAACAATGGCATTGCTGTTGCCAAAAAAAGATGATACATTCGGCCAATGGCCCATTGACGTCATGAATTCCCTTTGATTCCTCGAAACATAGAGGGGAAAACCCGTTTTGTTCACAACTATCCCAAGTAAATAGTGCAATATTTGGTAGATCGGTCACCAGCTGCAAACTATTGTTTTCTGTTGTCGTTGGCCACTTCCTTAGCCATAGGCAATCCAGGGTATGGAATGACCCCAACCAGTTTGTTCACCAAGCTTGGTCGTTCAGTTTGCCTAGTATCTATAGTGGCGCAAGGCGCTGAACTGGTGAATCGGCAATAGATTGATATTACAAATCAGAGCCTCGACGCGTTGGATACCAATCCCTGGTATCAAATGTGAGGGCTATCCAACAAATCGGAACAACCCAAAAAATGAGGCAACTACCTTGATACCCAACAGCTGGGAAATTTTCAAGCAAGCAAAAAAGGGAAGTCGGACGGATATTTTGATAGAATTGGTAGTTTGGAAAATGACGGACATACTCATCCCCCTAATACCAAATGAGTGGCTCGTGTCCAATGTGGTTTGCTCAACTCCGTCCATGGGACCCACTGAAGGTAAGGAACACAACATTTGTTGGAGGTGTATTGTTGTTCCTTTCTCGTTGAAGCATGGCCAACAGTGATTGATGGCACATGATGGCACCATGGATTTCAAGTGTGATTTGCTGGAACATGTGGTATTCCGTGGCCATTTTCAAGGCTCCATCCATGAGACTCAATGTGCTCGCCCATCATATGGAGATGACCTTGACTGAAGAAGAGTTGACAGCAGAACCCTACAGCCAGGCGCCTTTGGGCTTCGAGCCTGACGAGTGCTGCAGTTGCTGGTAATCTCAACCCCCTGAGAATTTTCCCTTCCACTGAATATATGCTAATATTAAGTACACCATATATGGTCCTGAAATGAACAAATCCAATACACTCCAATACTTGACCAGGGCTTCTATGGGTGTGATTGTCAGTAGGAAGGTGGGATTATGTACTTCCATGTTCTTTGAGGCTGGATACGCATGAAAAACATGGCACATCCCTGCGTGGTGGGTACCCTAGACCAGGCTGTTGGCATCCAGGGGTTGGCATTTGCCTCAAGTCGTTGAAGCAGGTCGCAGAGCAGGTGAAGTATCATGCTTTGTCCTTGTTTTTTTTGTTTTTTCGTACGTTATTTTATCAATCTCCCAATGTTTACTGGGTTTGGGTTATATTGGCAATACTACCACATGTTTGTTTTAGTTTTAAAGGCTTCAAGTCCATTGTTTTTGGTGGGTGGCAATCCTAGAATTTGCTGCTTCAAACGGTTTGAACATTCACTTTGTTGGTCAAGGTCACCTGTGATTGTTGAACTCTCCTTTTTCTTCGTTTGTTCGAGCCTATCAAGTTTTGCCCGTAAAATTCCAGTTGCAACAATCAAATATGCCCAGCGTAAATCCACCCATTAGCTTTTAGTAATCTTTTTAGTTGATAGTTATAGTCTATAGTTTTAAATCAACTTACCTGGCCTCTAATTCAAGTATAAATCGATTCTTTGTTGCTGAACTCTAAAAAAAACAAGTTCGATTTTCACTGGCAAAACCTATCTGAGATATAGGTACAGACTGGACACTGTAATCTGGTGAATAGACTCAATATTTGGATTTCGGGGTACTCCTCTATACCTTTTACATGTGATTGGTATTTTGAGAGCCCCTTCCTGTAAGTGTACCGCAAAACTCATAAGGTCATGCCCCCTTGGTTGTATAGTTTAGCACCCCATCTCACGATCTCGTTTTTTCATCACCATAAACCCGAATCCCTAGTTACAAGTTCGGTTGCAACCCCCAATGAACTAGTTCGATATATCTACCCTAAACCCAACAGTCCAATATGTGTGAACCATTAAATCGCATGAAACCATCATTAGATTCATCAAATCCTATGATATTCCCATCTAAATCCCATTACATCATGAAAAAACACCATAAAATCCTATGATCTTCTCATTCATTTCCATTAAATCCCTATTAAAGTCCCAGTATTTCACCCCCATTCCTACAGTTATAGCCATTTATTAGTCAAAACTGGTTATTTCTATGGGATAAAATGCATTCTATAAATGGGGTTTTCTTAGGGCCATAACTGTACAAACCTCAGCCGGTCTCAGCCGGTCTCAGCCGGTCTCAGCCGGTCTCAGCGCCAGGGTCACCTCTTTGGGGACGACGTGTCGGAGGCGGATCGCAGCAGTCGGGTCCAGCAGCTGAACGCCATCGATGGCATCCTGCCAGGCGCTTTTCGGCGTCCGCGATGTGATTCACGGTTGAAGCCGAAAAAAGATTGGAACGATATGGAATTGAATGGAAATTATAATATATATACATATATATATGTATATATATATTATATTATTATAGAGTATATATAATAGGTATAATATATATATATATATTTAATAGGTATGATATATATATATATATATGTGCATATATAGTTAATAATAACATATACATAGTCTATCAATATATATAAAATAATTGTACATGTTGATAATAGGAGCTATATGGACATCTAGGTATGTAGGATTTCCAATAAATATAGTGGAACAATGTATTTGAAATATAATGGAATATAATGGAATTTTATAATGGGATATGATTGGATATATAGATATAATTATATACAGAACAATATGGGAATATAACGGAATAGAATGCAGTGTTCAAAACCCCTGTTGATTGGTTATCATAAGGAGTTACACTACCTAATTAATTGCGATTTTGATAATCCATAGGAGGAAAACCTATCAACCAACTAGTATAATGAGACGGGACAGGGGTACTGTATCTTTAATGGCTAACTCTAATAGGGAGCATTATGACAAACTATCAACTTAGTATCTTGGTTAAAACTGTGACTAACGGTGAGTTCCTGGATATTGCTTTGAAGTATATGTGATTTAAGCAACAATAGGGATTTAAAAAGGAATATAATCTAATGATGTGGGATCCCATGTGAATAAAATGGGGTGTATAAACGACCAATGTGCGGAGATAATCGCTACTTTCACCCCCTTGTATCTGGGGTGTTGGGAGCAACCCTGGGTTAATTACGGATAATAGATGTCAGGTATTTTGTTGAGATCATAGATTGATCACCAGATGTTGGATCCATATATTGAACATCAAGGCCTTTAAGGTGACTTCAGGTCTCATTTTTGCTGGGGTTTGGCAGTGTGTTGGGGCCTGGTGTTTGATACCACGGATGGTTGGACGGTAGGGGATACATATAGAAATCTGGAGCAAATGTAAGAGAAGATGGTGATATGGCAAATGAGTAGCCAGTAAGTTGCCTTAAGACCAAATTGAATCTGCAGAAATCGCAAGCAGAATCATTGGTTCAGGCATCTTCATAGAGGAATATGATGTTCCACCAATGTAAACCGAGGATACTTAGAAAAACATGTTCAAGTCGAGGATCACTTTCCATGAGTTTGCAACTGGTCAGGAAGCAGATTAAGACGCCTTGCAACTGGGATAGTGTGGGATATACACCATGGATGCATTTACTACATATTTCATGCCAGGTTTTTTTCATGATTCTAGCTGATTCTAGCAACGTTTCTTCCCAGACATCGCAACCAAGTCGAACTAATCTATAATTCTGCTACAAGGAGTTCCTGTACTTAGGGGCAACGGTGCTGCGGGGAGCCTATGGGTATGGCACCTGCTTTTCTAAGTTAGTTTCACATGAGTTTTCACAAACCATACTATACCTATGGCACTCAAGAAAAAGAAGAAGAAGAAGAAGAAGGAGAAGGAGAAGGAGAAGGGGAAAAAAAACAATTGTCACCGTTCGAAAGGTCAAGATTACCATGTGGTAATCTAAACTGGCAGCAGAATATGTCCCATTTATCATCATTTCTCCATGATGTTCCTGTAGATATGGGGATTTCCACAATGTGGGACCCCGAGATAGCTAAGTTGGCTGTTAGCTCCAGCAACTATGGTTTATGATACCTGTAACATCTTATGACGTTTTACAACTATATAATATAGTGTTCATGTATTTTACAACCCAACTTGCAAAAGCGTCCCACAGCTGCAAGGGTTTTGTTGGCAGCCAAGCTTGGAATCAGCTCCCCATTGAACCCAAGAAAGGGTGAAGAAACTGCCACTAGAAACGAAGGCAAATCCAAGAACTAAATGGAGTTTTTTATAGGTGTGGAATGGTGGGGAAATCATCTGGAAATAGGGGGAATCTCCAAATTCATCTGGTAACAAGCAAAGAAGCATTGGTAGAAGAAGATGTTTGCAAAATGTCCACGGGTCCCGAGTCTTAGGATCAACATTCTTACCTTCTGCACTGAGATGAGATTATCCTCAATGGGTGGGCCCCAATTTGTGGGTGAATAGCAACATGGTTTAGAACCTACCTGCAATAATGTTCTTCATCAACTGGTTGGTGGTTTGGAACATTTTTTATTATCCCATATATATATATGTATGTATATATACATATGGGAATAATACTTCCAACTGACTTATATTTTTCAGATGGGTTGAAACCACCAACCAGTCAAAGTAGAATCGAAATTCGTTAGAGGGATTGAAGTGTCACCCATTCTTGGGCTTTCAGATTTTGACATGTTTTGACCCCTTTTGACCCACGACAGGTGGCCTGAAAGGATATCTGCAACGCGCTCGAAGCTTGCTGAAAGATGCGCAAGCTGGAACCAATCCCTTTGCTGCTCAAGCTGCGCTGCAGATATACATGTGCCGAAATCCCATGGTTGTTGATGGCTATGATAAGCATCAAACATGAGGTTTAGAAAAAAAATCTGGATATGAATCTTCAAGAGTGATGCAGGATTGCACTAAGCGATATTGATAGTCCAGCATGAGAACTCCTACAGGAATAAGAGGGCAAGGTCATGACAGAAGGTTTGGGCACTGCTCAAGTTGACCCTGGAGTAATGGACGTTTCTTCTTAGATCTGTATCAGCTAACCCGTAGACTAGGATAACATGAGGCTTCGATAACTGATCGTGGTTTCAGCCACCTTTCAGCCACCTTTTCAGCCACCATGGACACGTATGCCGTACTTCCTACCCCCACGCTGTGGCATGGGGAAATGACCTGACCTATGGCCAAAGAAATGACACGTAATTGCCATATCGCCATTTTTCTTGGATTCTCTTCCACTTAGAGTAATGTCACCTATATGATCCTTCCATTTTTGATTCATTGTTGATTATCATTTCCCCATTTAAAGAAATGAAACTAATGAGGCTTCATTTTTCAATCACACCCAAACAGGTTGTATCCTGTTTCATTACTGTATATGTTGCATTGTTTCCCACGGAATCCCCGTGAAATATATCCCAAAGATCGACTGCATCCCAGATGATATCCCCACGTTTTTCTGGATGCCCAGGCTGGTTTGACGCCTCAAGTTCCAGACGGAGCGAATCTCTCTGGCTCCTGTGGTCCTGGAAGTGAAACCTTCGCGGAAATGGAACGGCTGGGAATGAAAGAGCTGCTTGGAGGATCGCAACAGTGCCCGCAACAAAACCAGTCATGATGACAGTTATGGCCACGGGATGGTTCATAACTCCTGCAACTAAGGTGAACAAATATCACAAACAAATTAGGTTATGAACCAACTATAACTGTGAAACGGGCTACTGTTGAAGGTTGAGAAGATCATCCTTTCCCGATTTGAGCTGACGGATTAAGGCCATATACCCAAGCGTTTATCATGAAATATAGTAATATATAAATATACACTATTGCTTTTATTAATTACAGTATTGAACTTATTATTTATTACTACTATAAATTGTTGATTTTGTGTTGTTATTGTGAGTGCTAAAATTATTATCATTATTATTTATTATTGTTATTTATTATTATTATTATTGTTATCGCTATTATTATTTATTATTATTATTATTTATTATTATATATTATTTACTCACATGGATGGATTTTGGCCATACGCTTAGATTTCAAATGTGTTTGTGCTTAGATTGAAGCTGCTTAGGTCGTGGATTTACGTTGATTTACTACATAACCCACTAATCATATAATTAAGACTCAAACGCCCAGCAGAGGATTAACCAACCACAAAGACTCGTGAAGGGTACTTTTTTCCCACAACATATGAACAGACAGTGCAGCCACAGAGTGGGATGTTCTGAAATTGTGTTGCTGTAGTGTACGTAATGGTTTGACTGACTCGATTCACATTGTCATTGATTAAATGCTCTGCTACATTCAAAGTTCTGAGAACATAATTAAGATTTGTTGGGGAGATCACAGAAAACACTGTTAATATTTGTTCACGATGTTTTTTCTAGCTACACGATATGGTCAAATGTATAAATAGAATATACTGTTATGAAATGTTATGAACATGTATGGAAAATATGAAAATATGCAGAAATATGATTTAAATGTATAAATATAACATAGACATGTACATACATTGTGTACATAGATATAGTACCAGATATAGATTACGCAACATGTCCAATATCCCTTTACCCTTTTCTGTTTTAACACAGCTAAAGGAAACGGCCCATTCAGTTTGATAATTAACCTATTATATATCCAATTGCAGATGGTGGTTTTCATTGATTTTCCATAGCTATGTTGAATTACTAGAAGGATAGAAGGTAAATCCCTATAAAGCTCAAGTAAATCCTAGCAAATGCCTCTTAAATCCCATGAAATCCCCTCATGAAAATCCCTATCAAAATTCTAGTAAATCCCATTGGAAATCCCTATAGAATCCTTCTTAAACCCATCCAATCTCTATAAAATCACATTAAACCCATTAAAGCCCATGAAATCCCATGGGAAACTTCCAACTTTTCACCTTTTTTCTTACGCCGAGGCTTTCAGGCTGTGCCTTCTGCCTGGTGGCCGGTGGACTCGGAGAACGCCTGGGCTTCCCGGGCATCAAGCAGCCTGGTTTGATTGATGTCTTGATTTTCCATCACCATCTGGTTATTTGTTAACAGTTCGCCATGGTATAGATGGCTCATAGAAATAGATGGTTTAGCTATTGTAAATGGTGATTTTCCATCACCATCTGGTTATGACTGACATTGCCATGGAAAATGGCCCATTTATAGATGGTTTACCTATTTTAAATGGTGATTTTCCATCACCATCTGGTTATATCACTAACAGTTCGCCATGGAAAGATCCACCCATTTATAATAGGAAACATAGTGGGGTAACTATAGAAATATTAACTCAATATTTCATCTATCTACCATCTGGTTATGACTAACAGTTCGCCATGGAAAGATCCACCCATTTTTAATAGGTAAACCATTTATAATCACTGGGGAATTATCAAGATTATTGAAGATAACTAATTATGTTGTCACTAATTGATATACCCTTTGGTTATGACTAACATAACCATGGTATAGATGGCTCATAGAAATAGATGGTTTACCTATTATAAATGGTGACTTTCCTATGTTAAAGAACCAGATGGTACCCAATCAAACTTTTCCTGGTATTCAATTGGATGTTGGATTTAAACTTTAGATTGTTTGATTTTTGGAAAAGTTTATCCACAATCCAATTGAAACCCATGGTTTATCAACGGAAAATACATTTTAATAACCATGGCTTTCAATACTAAGGCATGGTCATCCATGACTTGGATAAACATGACACACCATTATAGGTTGATTTCAATTTCGGATTTTCCATGAATGGTTATTATATTCCATTGTTTGTCATGAATGGATGATTTGGGGGTACCATCATTTTAGGACACCTCCATATACCCTCTGATTCAAAAATTATCAGTTTGACCCCTGAAATTCACCTATTGCTAGTGGAAAATAAACAATTCCAACCCCGATAAATGCCAGGGTCTATGTTAGTTTACTGGAAGGTAGTTAATATTTTAGAAACCATGTAGTTAAGGATTTAAACCATAGTTTATGAACGTTGAACTGGATAAAGCGTGCCATCAAACTATGATTAGCCAATCCGCACGTAGTAATACCCATTAATCTCTGATGAACATCCCATTAATACTCAGAGTCACCATAAACCCAACAGTGATTCCGTTCACTGCACTTGCGGCCCTTTACTGAGGATGTTCGGATATGTATTCTAATATGAGTGAAATATAACGTAGTTATCAACCATCTGTCAACTGCAGTTATGGCCCTTTACACTTATGGCCCTTTACACTTATGGCCCTAAAATGAAATACAGTAACTCCTGCAACTAAGGTGATCTTTTTAGTTGAAAGTTGCCCCAAAAGCCAAAGATCCGGAATTGAACCAACCAAATTTGGCATTGAACGAAGAAATGGTTGGGTATATAAAGGATTTAGCAAGCGAATGAGGGGTTTAACCTCGGCTTTTCTCAGCAAACTAGTGTTCTACCTACGAAAACGATATTGAATGATATGATAGAACAAAACAGCACATAGAAATTCGTGCAACAACAACAACAACAGCACCAACATGCATTTCCCAAGAGTCATCGTGATATCACAATCACCCGTCCAAATAGGAACAGTAGAAAGGGAACACAATATTGGGAGTTCGATGAAAACTGACAACAGAAGAAATCATCAATCTACTTCTGGATGCAGTTGGAATAACTCTTTAGCAACTCTAGTTATATAACCACTTATTGTGGTGAAATTTCACGCCCCAAATATCCCCAAGTAGTTTTTCCGTCTGGGAGTCATACTCAGACTTGTGGCTGCGAAACAGGGCGGCCACCTCGCAGCTGAGGATTGGAATCGTTTCGGACGTCATTACTGAGATGACATTCATCCAGCTGTATTGTTCATTTATCTTGGCATGCCAGAAACTTGGTCAATTTGCCATGGCGGAATCACAAAGATTTCCCCAGGTTTTTTTTGGGGGGGCCATCGCAAACCCAGGTTGGCGGTTTACATTTTTGATCCGTACCAACTTCTTCAAGATTTCAGCACATTTTCCAAATCCAAGGAAATATGCGCGCAAGGAAAGCGGCAAATCCGACTTGTTGCTGCCATTTGCTATCATGACTTCTGGTGACACCCATCAGCATACCGTGGAGCTCATGGCAAAGAATGTTGCTCGTCATGACGGCAGGAAATCCAGGCCAATGATAGGTAAGTTATGGATACTTCTGGTAAGTTGGTTTACAGGGCCAAGTGGAAGTTAAGGGAAATTTGTGAATGCAGTTGGATGGGTTAATCTCCAACTCATGGTTTAATCTACAGTTGGATGGGTTTACATCTTCAGTTGGACGGGTTTAGAAAGCAACCTATTTCTGCAAGAGATTGGGGGGCACACGCTTGGTCGCGTTGAATCGTAGGAAGCATGGGCTTGTTCCGAACCTTCGGGTGATGCCGTCGTTGAAACAGTGGACACATTGTTTTTAGATTGATTTGGACGTCAGGCTAAACCATTGCATTTTTGTTGCTTCCAAATTTTGAGACCATCTGATATAATCATAGATAATCCCAATGCGGAATTGCAGGGCAATGCTGGTCCATCATTTGATTCCAGCCATGACGTCCGTTTCATTTTTTGTTTGCGGTGTGCGTGTCAAAAGAGAGGGAACCAAACAGGAAGATAATATACATATCATATATACATGTTCTTATTAATATTAAGGTATTATATGCATCCATCCAACTAGAAGAAAGACCCTGCAAAAGGTTCGGAGCTTGGAAGATACGAAATTTGCTTTCTATCTTTGTTTTGAACGAAGGTTTTTGGCACATCTTTTGGGGACAGGAATTCTATGGTCTAAATCCAGCACAAGTCACTTGGCAGCAACGGGTTCTTGGCACTGCCATGGTGCACGTCATCATCGTCGTCATCATCATCATCATCATCATCACCATCATCATCATCATCATCATCATCATCATCATCACCGTCATCATCATCATCATCATCATCATCACCATCATCATCATCATCATCATCATCACCGTCATCATCATCATCATCATCATCATCATCATCATCATCATCATCATCATCATCAGCATCATCATCATCATCATCATCATCATCATCATCATCATCATCATGGAGTCAGTGTCAGTCAATAATGAATGATCTGCAATAAACTGAAGAGAGTACAAATAATCATAAACAAAAACAACATATATGAAAGACAACATAAACATTGTGAAACTGTTTGCAAAAAAAAACAACAAACAAACACATGGGAAACCACGTATTATCTTCTCAACTCCCAAGCGAACTTTCTACAGAAAACTCTCAGAGATCCAGATCTAACCAAGAGTTGCTGAGGTGAATATCGTGAAGCAGGACTGCGCGAGGGTCCCTGAACATCTTCATGGTTGGTATTAAAACATGTTTGTTGTTTTCCATGTTTGTCATTGGTTCGATCTTTTTTTTAATGTGGAAACTTTTTTTTGCTTTTTGAACAACTTTTTTTTCATGATTAGGCCAGCATTTTTAGAGGCTTCGATCATTGTCTTTGATGGTGTTGGTTATTTTTGAGAGCTAGAATACCTTATACACCAATCTTAAATCATTGTTTTTGCTGTCCAGTTTCCAGTTTCCAGTTTTTGTTGCTGTTCAAACCGCTGTTTTTCCTATGTCTCCCCCAAAAAAAGGAGAAGGTTCCGGCCCTGCTCGACGTGGATGCGCGCATCGCGGCCAAGGAGGGTTTCATCGAGACCAAACCCCACGGACACGGCGCGGTTCAGTGGGCACGCCATTTATAGAGGATTTTCCCATTGAATTTATTTATTTATAGAGGCTGGTTGGTTTGGAACCATGGAATTTTATGACTGTACAATGACTTTACATATATTAGATTGGGATTTTTTTTTAACCTCAACTGACGAGTTGTCCATCATTTTTCAGAGGGGTGGCGAAAAACCACCAACCAGGGATATTTCATGGGAATACAAGTTCTGGCATTTTTTGGGTGTGTATCAGCGGATTTGAAAATTGAAAGACACAAGTTGGTGAAATATGCTAGGTCAATCTCAGATGGATACTTTAATCCTAACTAGTCTTTTGGTATCAATGGGAATATCTACCAGCCAGCAAAGAAATAAGTTTCTTTTTTTGCAGGGTATCTAGGATTGGCAATGTATGAACATTGACCAGATTTGACCAGTGAAAACGGGAATTCAGTCAGCAATATGATTGATACATGAGATTGCAGGTGAAACTGACTGGATGAATAGTTCAAATAGTTTTTTATTACTTTGCTGGTTGGTGGTTTGGAACATTTTTTTCCATCATATTGGGAATAATCATCCCAACTGACTATATCATTAGTATTTTTCAGAGGGGCAGGTATACCACCAACCAGTATTAGTGGGAATCTATACTAGCCAGCTCAAACAAAAACACAGGGTGTCTCGGATGGCAAAGATTTGGTTGGTCATTGAAGCTGTTACCCTCTGGTAAACATACAAAAAGCTATTGAACATGGCCATAGAAATATATAGTTGAATTACCCATTAAACATAGTGATTGTCCATAGTTATGTCAGTTTACCAGAGGGTAGTAAAGGTAGAAACACAGTTCGATTGACTACACACGCTGCAATGGAAATGTATATTTGGATGGTGATTCAACTTGACACTCAAACAAAACATCTCCACAAATGAACACAAATCAATGTTGATGTGGGCGTCGATATTGACAATTTTCATGATGTCGTAATGACGGGATGTTGCAAGTGTTGGGGTGCCGCTATGATCGTACATGTGATACGGATTGATACGGACCAAGATCCATTGGTTGAGTGGATTGGTTTTCTTGCGATATCTTGTGATTGTGGTGAAGTTCCAAAGATGGCTGGAGATCCATCAGTAATTGGGACTAGATTGGTTATAATGTTGAACCCCAAAGCAGGCTTATTCACCAAACAAATATATGTAGAATGATTATTGGAAAATTATGCACAGTGAAAAGAATCCAACAGACATGGGACATCATGGGACCAAATCAACAGCATTCAGATAACCTAAGATTGGCACAGTTATGGCCCTTTAGCACTTATAAGTACTTATATATAACCCCATTTATAGAATGTATAATCCCATAGAAATAACCAGTTATAACTAATAGCCATGGCCATTTCACTGCAATTTTAATGGAACATTAAGGCACGATCACTGGCGCATCGCTTTTTTGAATCTGGGGTTGGGTCGTAGCTGATCGATGCTGACCCATCATGCCGCAGGTGACGTGCATGGGGTGCTGCATCAACATGGACTGTCCAAGCGGTGGGCACGTGAGGGTCGCAAGTGGTTGTTTGTGTTTCAAGATACAAACCCCTTGAGCTTTCGATGCTTGGTTGATTGGTAACCCATAGGATCCGGCTGGTGCTGCTATATATGCTAACATTTACATACATTTACCATCAATATACCTCAAATGTTTGCATATATACCATACATGGATCCTATGGGTAATGAACGTTCGGGACTTATACCACCCAGTTTATTGAAGATTCTGATAACCTTTCTCGTCAGGAAACCTATCAACCAACTCGTAAAATCCCGTCTGACCTCAGTCGATGCTTCACTTCAACTGTGCTCAGTTTGTCAGGGCTTGTTGAAGGTGAAGCTGAGGCTATAGATCACATGAGATTTTCCAGCAGTTAGAAAGCCCTTTTCATAATTATAACTGGCTTAGAACATATAACTGATATGGCTAGTAAATAATATATAATTGGGATATGTTTGGCAATCTTATTTTTATAGCTGTTCAGGGATTACCAAACATATCTGAATATCCTTTGAATGGCAGCTGGGATGAACATCCTTAAGTGACATGAGAACTGATTGAGCCACGTGACATGCGTTTCCACACGGTCTCCTTGGAGATTCGATGGTTTTCCACTTGAAGATATCATATCCACATTATATAGAAGCTTCAGAGTGAGATTGACATGATTGGCGGCCAATCGAACCTCGTGCACATGATCAGATAACATGAGAGAACAACATGTGTCAAAGCCATGATCTAGTGTTTCATTCTGTTTGCATCACCAAGTGCCCCAAAAGGAGTAGCATCTGACCCTAGTGCCCTAGTGCGACTGAGGAATCTTATGTGCCACCTTGGGCGTTTCCGCCAAGAATTCCTATGTCATGAACAGTGTGGCCATCCCTCGAATACCGGGGGAATCCATCGGCGGCATCTGCAGATTGCTGGACGACAAGGGCTCCAGCCTGACTCTCAATGTGGAGTACAACCAGCTGGATCCTCTGTTGAAAGAGACTCCCTCAGGCTGGTGGAGTCGGTTTTTTGTGGAAACCCGGCCGGTGGTTTCTTTGTGAAAGATACCCGGAAACGTTTACCATGTGCTTAGATGATGGCTAGCTTTTGGATGCTGTGCTCGCACAATTCCAAAGAGGGAAAACGATCCTCACAGGGTCTTTCCAGAATAGACATCAGGTGAAAATAGTGCAACTTATGGCCCCGAATTGGATGGTTCTGTACATACCATGCATGTCCAGAAAAGGGATCAGCCAGTGGTGTTCCTGAATTGCCCCCCATGAATGGTGGATGGTGAGTGTTGATGCTGGGTAAACATGATACCTGGGTAAGTTCCATCGACCTCGACCTAGGAGGAACCACCTAAACATGGCTTCAGAAAATATGCCTAGATCACATCGCCAAGTGGTTCCCCCTGAGTTTTTAGCCTTTGATCATCTCCATGAACAGATACTTCCAAAACATTCTGAAACCATCCAAAACCCCACGTATAAAGTTATATACATATATATATATATTATATATATATATACATATTATATATTATTATCATATTATAAGATATATATATATATAGTTCTATTTGTGAACCAACTTATCAATCACATCATGGAGCACAAACTCTCTTCGCAGCTTCATCATTTCCCGGAAAGGTGGTGACGTGGCGGATGCTTCGGGCTTCAGCCCGTATCCCGGGAACATCAACATCCTCCTTTTCAGCTTGCCGCGCTACGCGGAGCGCCTGGATGAGACCTCTGGGGTCGTGCCGGAGTTCGTGAACCCCAAATGGGCCGACTTTGCGAAGACGAAGCTGAAGTCCTCCACCCGTTTGGACACCTGGGTGCGTAATGTCAACGAGAAGTAAAGCATGTGTTTTTTTTCTGAACTGTGGGGAGTATCTTCTTTTTTAGTGATATGATACTTAAATATGATACCCCAATGAAACAGTCTAGGGGTTTATTAATCCAGGGTTGACATGATTTCGCTCACCCTTTTTTACTTTAAACCAGACCCTATAAATGGTTCCAAATATACGAACATATCCTGCTGAAGCATGGTTTCTGTGCGGTGTTTTATATTTGGGGGAAGGGAAGGGCTTATAGTTTTTCGTGATTGTTGGTACCAGCTGGTGCGCCATAATTTTGTAGCTAAGTTGGTTTATGACGAATATAAATATTGGGTTTATGCTGATTGTAGTATAGTTATATAGGTAGGGTAATATGAACAAACTTACAACTAGGGGGCACCGCCTTGTGAGATTTGCATTGACACATAATGGGAACGGAATTGTTGAGTGTTGTGGTGTTGGGTTGGGTGGTTGCTTGCCATCCACAGATTCTAACTTGGAAGATGCTAGTTCCTAGTCAGAAATCATGATGTGATTATTTTGCGCTAGGGTGCTTACTCCAGATTAGCGCAGCTGCGGCCCAGAGACGACATGCGTTTGCCCCCAAGAACTGTTTGGAGAACCGACCAGTTGAGGCTGTGGATGTTGGTCTACTTTCACTGTGAAAACCATCCACTTGTAGGGGTACACACTTTTGAGCCAATACCCGTATGTGGCCCTGCCAGATTTTTGTGTGCCAAGATCTTCCTTTACTCTGTGCATGGGGAGTAAACTGGGACGCGGAAGCCAGGAAAGTTTGATGCAGGATTTTCCACGACTTTGCAAAGAGGAAGACAAGGTCGGCATGACGCAATTCGATCGCTGGATTGCAAAGACGAGTGTGAAGAACAATTTGGAGGACGACTAAAAGCCTTTACTTGAATGATTCTTGTTGGGTTTGGATTGATGTTTTGGAAGGTGGTGCCCCAGTTCGTTGGGTAAGATAGTTTCATTCACTAATACAAGTGCTGAGTTTATGGCGACTATAGCTACTTTTGTAGATGGGGAAACATAAACCAGCAAACATAACTAGCGCGGATCTCAATATCCCGCTGTTTTGATGCAGGCATGAACCTAGTGACCTAGCATTGACTTCAGGGATTATCCAGTCGTACAAGCGTAGGATCCATAAGGCCCAGGAATCAGACAACAGCAGTGGTGACCTTTTCTCTTCATTGTTCAATAGTCCAAGTATATACTTCCAAGATTTGCCAAGTGTAAAAAATGGACTTAAATTTCAATTCGACTTATATTGTACCATATTGTACCACTAAGCAGATTCCCATCGAGGCTCCCATTTTTGCGGTTGGGGGCAGCCAACGAGAGGATGCCAGAAAAAAAGTCCCGCCTGAATGCGCTTTATCAGCAGAAGCCGACCTCTACGCATGCAACGCGAGACTTCTCCAGCCGCTTGACCCTGGTAAGGTTCGTAGATATTCTAAGTGTGTATACACCACTTTTTCACTGTACCCTCTGGTAAACTAACATAACTTTGGAAAATCTCCATGTTTTATGGGTAAATGTAAATCAACTATAAAAGGCCATGTTCGCTATAGCTATGTAAACGTTTACCAGGCCGGGTAATTTACCGTGATATTTGACCAACAGCGATGGGCCATGTGGCGATGTGACCATTGGATTGTTCCACCGGTGCCATCTGAGGCTCTGCGGAGATGTGACCATTGCAGCTCCAGAAGAGGTGACCTTCTTGGGCATCACGGCCGAGCTGGGACCCCAGAGCCTTGGCTGGGAACGCTAGGGACGGCCGGGCTGGCGATCACTTGAGATGTGACCGGTTTAGCAGATCGAATTACTAGAGAAGACGTTATAGACTGCATATATACAGCTGTATGAAGCCACGAGGTGGTAAAATCTTGACCATCAGCCCATTGTTTTTGCTTTGCAATTCTGACCCAAGCCCATTTCAATCCATTTGATGGGGCCCGGGGCCGTCAGTTCAGCGCTTGAGTCTCACCTAGGATTGTCATCAACCCGTCCTTTGCCATTTCGTTGGAAGAGTTGAAGAGCAAGATTCGAGGGAAGTTTCCAAGCCGCACATGGGGATATGTGTAAGCTCCATCCATAGCACCATAGCGGATCTTTGAAACAAGAATCAACAGTGGAGTCTGTTTCTGAACAAGAGCTACCCCTCAAATCCTATTGTTCATTCTGATTTGTTTTGCAATCAAAATGGTCATATGTGGGTATCCATTATCTCGGTACAAAGCCATGATGATTCCAGGCTTACATAGACATTCCTCCGAGGCGGTTGGTTTTCACAAACCCTTCGGGATATTTTTGCTGACCGTTTACATTTTCCATCAAAGGTTTGCAAATTTGGGAGTTCCCACTTATTGAGTTTACAAACCATACAGACCATGCTTTTTCACTGGATCATGGAGATATCTATAAGTTAAAATAAAGCAAACATAAATACCCTCTGGTAATTTAACATAGCTATTGAAAATGGTCAATTTAGTTGATTTACCTATTAGGTAGTGATTTTCAATAGCAATGTTAGTTTACCAGAGAGTAACGCATAAGCATGCTCCATTTGCTAACTCGGATGCACCCCGGGAGTATGCCTTTGACCTCCTGCGGAGAAGCCTAGCAAGTGCTCTTTCTGAGAGGACGGAGGTGCATCAGTTCATCACGCAGATCCTCCGTACATACCCATAGGATCCATGTATGGTATATATGCTAACATTGGGGATGTATTGATGGTAAATGTTACCATATATAGCATACATGGATCCTATGGGATATATACATGGTTTACATTCACTCTATCTTCGCTCACATTGATTTTTGAGACCAACAAAAAACCATAGTATTGGATGCAGTTGCTCGATTTACAACTTGGCGAGGGCATGAACTAAATGTTGTCCCGGCCGAAGTTTGGGGTTGTCATCAGAAGGGATGACCACATACAAAAAAAATACCACATAAATAGATATGCCATCTGGTTATTTAACATAGCAAACTGGAAATTTCCTTATAAATGGAGGTTTCTAGCTGGGAACAATCATCTATAAATGGGCCATGTTCCATTGTTATGTTAATGACCAGATGGTAGATAGTTTATATCGAGTTAATATTTCCATAGTTACCCCACTATGTTTCCATTTTTCCAACCCATCAACATGTTCACATGTTTGTTGCTTCAATGCTGAGTTTGATGACTGAGGATTTCAATCTCCAAAGGCTCCACTTTGGTCCTAGAGGGTGACGCCACTCGCTGGTGATCCTTTTTGGGGGGTCTACTCTGAAGATTCCGGGACGGTTTCCAATTAATGTGGGTAAAACAATGAAAAACCACCTATTTGGGAAATTTGGGAATGGTTTATTATTGTGTTACCCACATTAGGAGCCTTTTTCTTGGGGATTTGTCAAATTGTGGGGATTTTCAAGGGAGTTTTGTTTCGGATATGATGTAGCCAATGATTAATGATAGCCCCTGGTAATCAAGCATGGCAATGGACAATTCCGTCTGAATCTAAGTGGAGGATTTGATGGGAAATCATCTATCATTGGGGAATTTGCCAGCACAGCATGTTTGATTACCAAACAGAAACATAGCTGGAACCCTAAATAAACACAATACATGTTTGCCCTTTTTTTTTGAAAATTGCTTCACTATAACTATACTGGAGAACATGTCATATTTCTGGTGGATTGGGGTTCCATATGCTCGTAGTTTATTAACGACATAAAGTTCAGGTTGCATGCAATGAAAGACATGAACAGCAATAGAACCATATGGGCCGGAGAGTAAGTGGGGCCATAACCCCTTTAAAACATTTTAAAACTGGAGGTCGGTATTGTCGATCGTACTTGTTTGGTAGGGTGCGTTTCTCTCAACAACAGGAAGTTCGCCATAGTGTCAGTTTTGTGGATCCTTCCAAGTTGCATGGCTGGCCAATTTTTTTCTGGCTCGGAAAATACCACAAGATTCCAAGCTACAGTTATAGCCATTTATTAGTTATAACTGGTTACAAATGGGATTATACATTCTATAAATGGGGTTATAAGTATTTATAACTGGTAAAGGGCCATAACTGTAGGGTCTTCTGCGATGGTACTGTCAGGTTTCTTAGGGATGGACTTCATCCGATAGCATGATCTGGGAGTATCCCTTGGTTGCCATGTTTGGATGTGGTATTTGAGGTTGGCCAGGATTAGGAGTGACTGGGTTTGGAGCCAGCAACCAAATTTACTTGTGATTGTTTTCTTCTGCAAATTTGTACAGTATTTAATACATGTATATATATATATACATATAGATATAGATACATATATATAAACATGTATATATATATACATATGTACAATCAGCGTAGTCTGTGTGGTTTTGTGTGTCTCCCCAATTTTAAGCCACTTGCGTCACTGTCTCGTCATTCTCACCACAAGGTGGTGCCAACTTAGCAAGTTCGATCACCACAGGATTATTTTTCCACTTCTACTTATTAACTACAGCTATGTAGCTGTAGTATGCAGTATGTACATGTATGTACTCTGATACTCTGGTGATGTACCATGATGTACCTATATATATATATATAGATGTGAATGTATATTGATGTACTGTATGAACAGTATACACACATTGGTTCAATTGCCATTCCAGGATCCTAGATTGGAGGTACCTACCATATATAAGGCCTCTGTAAGCCCATGTAAGGGAATATCCCCACAAAATATGGCCTTATATGGTACAGTACCTCCAATTTAGGATCCTGGAATTCCCATTGATTGGTCGCCAGATTCTTTCTGCAGGTCACCGTGGATGGTCTGGAACTCAACGGTGCCTTGTGCATTTCTGGCTCTGGAACTCTGACAGGAGAGGGTTCCAAAAAAGGGGGGTTTCCCCGTTTTTCGGCCCAAAACACAGTTTTAAGTGGAAAAATCACTCCTATAACTAAGGTTATATATCATTATAGACCCATAAGAATAACTGTCAATGGCCATAACTGTGGGTTTACAACATCAACAACTGCCTGGGAGATGTCGCTAGATTTCAGAAATATAAAGAACTATACAGTCTTCAAAAGCCAACCAATAAAGATGTTATGACATAAAATGACATAGCGACATAGCTTTCAAAAAACAGTTGTAACGAGGATGTGGTCTTGTAATGCCAACAAATGCCAATACAACGAGTGAACGACACATTTTCACGAAACCCGGATGGTTTTATTCAAGTAATTTCTTCCCGAAATAAATAACCCAAACGACCAAACCCCTTGGAATCTAATTCATGTGAAGGGATCGCAAAAGTCATGTTTCTCAATGACCAGGGATAATATCATTTCTGATCTTGATTACATCCCCACTCAGATGATAGAATCCTGACTTTATTGATGAATTTCTTGTAGGAATGGGCAACCTTTCCACAAGTTAGGGATGGCCCGGCACCTCTCTTTCATTTCATTCTTTGCTTTACCATCTTGGCATATGCGCATGAGTCAACCTTGGATACCACCTTGTTGCTAGCTGTTGCCAGTTAAACCACATTTTTTGATCATCAAACCACCTTATATTTGATGCAAGTATTTTTGTCATGAGGTGGTGCCGATCAGTCATATAAGTTATTTTTTGTATGTTTTTTTTTTTTAAAGCCCATCTAACTATAAACCATAAACCTAGTTAGCTACTGAAATGATAATCAGCTATATATAGTTATATAGTTCTACATAACATATTAAATATCATAGTTCTACGTCATATATTATATTTTATAGTTCTACATCATATTATATATATATATATTCATCACCGTAGTCCCAACAGTTACGCTACATCAACGAGGGGTTCGTTTTGCCGTGGCGTCAGGACGCCGCGTGGAGAACTCGGGCGTCCGGCTGCGGTCCATTGAGGCGGCAGAGCTGCCCAAGGTGTCTCCATCGCTGCAGATCCGAGGGAGCCTCGGCAGGTGGTGGGGTTACCCTCTGCTAATTTGTTACATACCAATGGGATTATAATGGGATAATTAGAATGGGATAAACCATTTACCAACAGGTGCAGGATTTCGCTGGCCCATCCACTGTATCCTGCAGCAGGATAAACGGGATGTGATCCAATGAGTAGATCCCATATGATCCCACTATCTATACAATGTGAGGCCCCCAAGATAGCTAAGTTGGTTTATAACTCCAATAAATATGGTTTATGGTACGCAAATAACGAACTAGTTACTGGGGCTTAGAAACCAACTTATAATTGGGGTGCCTCACATTGTAGCTTTTGAAAATGGCACATGTATGTCGTTGATTTAGCTATTCAATATGGTGATTTTCTATAGCTATGTTAGTTTACCAGAGGGTAATTGGAGGCTCATATATGGAGGTAAAGCGGGTAATTAATCATTAGTTGGTGGTGGGTTTTAACACTATGAACATTAAAGTAGTGGTAAAATAGTGTTAAATAACGATTACTTCTACAATCACATCACTAATACCCTCCAATATTGGTGGTGGGTTTATAGTGGTTTTAGGAAACATGTTACCAATATTGGAGGCTCATATATGAGCTACAATTGCAGTTATATGGCTTCCAATATTGAATGATATGTATGGAGGTTTCCTAAAATGAAGGCACCCAAAATTGCTGGTTTATAATTGGACAATTCACCTATAAATGGATGGTATCACCATATAAATATATATATATACACACATACACATTTCAGTAAATTGCATTTAAAGTATGGCAAATGATGATGTATAGAATATGGAACCAATTAACTGGTATCATTTATTTACCAATTAAAGGTACATTTACTTACCAAACAAACAATATATATATATATTATATATATATATATGTCAGTAACCAGCAAGATGACACCAGTAGACAAGGTCAGAAAACCGTTGGTTGATTGGTTGTGACAGTGAACTAGCCCTTTTCACTGTCATTAGGTCATCTACGTATAGTTTTTACAAATTGTCATAGTCACCATAAAGGGGCCCCTTTTTGTGTCATCATCCCCCAACCAACTGGATGGCTAGTGAAAAATAACCCATGACGGATCCTAACGGTGCTGCTATTTGTTTGGTGTGCCATGGATCCCATCAATATATATATATATATATCCCCAATGTTAGCATATATACCAGCACCATGGATCCTATGGGTAAATCCTTTGTTTTATTAGCGAAAAATCACCAGCCAAGTGGACTGCCATTTGGTGTGTCCATGTTGGACTATACCTGGCAAAAGTTGGGGATTCGATCCCCGAGTAGTCTGGGAGTTTTTCACAAATCCCCAACTTAAGTATAGAATCACTCCATCTCATGGATTACGACATTCCTTAACAGTAGTAATCATAGTATAGCCAAATTTCATGCTGATTTCCTGATTGAACAACGGCGGTGGTTTTTTGGCTCCGGTGATCTCTTTGGGATCTTTATTGTTGCCACATGAAACTGGCTTTGTGTATATTTTGTTGTTAAATCTCTCAATGACCGGACCATTCCAGGGTCATTTCAGCAGCGATTTGGGCAATGAAATGCACCAGGAGATGAGTTGCGGTGTTGTGATCGGAACTGCGAGATGAGTTGCGGTTGTTTTTGTCCCACAAAAAAAATTGGATCCTAACTGACTCAACAGATGCAGTCTCTGAAAAGACTCTCCATGGTTCACCAGTGAAGTCTCTGAGGCTTGGAAAATACCTACCGTGGACCAATCAGAATCAACCCACCATGGCTTTCTAAGCTTACTGCTATTGCTTATATTCGAAGGTTGGTCATGTCGGTTTCATATGGAAATCGGTGATGTGGATCTACCCCAAGCCGAAATGCCTTGAGATATGGGTATGGGTCATAATAAGTCATAACCAATATTGCCATAGTTCGGGGATAACTATCCAGCTATACCAGCTATTTTAAGGTAGCTAGAGTATCAGGGTTTTGAACCATATTCTCTGGTAATTTAACATAGCTATGGCAAAATGGCACATTTGTAGTTGATTTACCAAGTAAAGATGGTGATTGTCCATAGCTATGTTAGTTTACCAGAGGGTAACCGTATGAATTGGTCATGACCGTATTCTTTGATTATCTTTGATGATTCTCCCAGGTACAAGAAAGAAATCTTGGAGATGGAAGAGATCAAGTTATGAGACGCTGCTGCTGATTCTTGTTCCTCGGTTTCATCACATTAATTATATGTTTTGTCTTGTTACACCAACGTTTATATATAGGGTTTGTTTGGAAGCAGTATTTTTTTGTTTTAAAGCGCTAATCAGTATTGTTTTTTTTTTTTTACAATGGTAAGAAGGAAGGTATACCGCGATTTCAGACATACTCATAATATGATAAATATATATATATATAATATCCGTGAAATGGTGGTGTTTGATACTGGGACATATCTCCAAACATTTCATGTGACTCGTCATCTATTGACATAATCAAACACTATTTGTTGATATCTTAATGTAAATAAATTCCTGGAAATCCACTTTGTCCCAAACTCCCCGAGAAAACATGATGAAGAAGTGAGTTTGCAGCTTTGCCACATTTGGGGGCTAAGACCAAGTCCGTCACCTGGGCCCGCTTTGAAACCCTCTAGGCGGTTCTTTGCAAATGGTTGTATGATAATTACAATGCGGGGCCCCCAGCACTTATGTTTATTGGTTTGTCAACCCCATAAATACTGTAAACCATAGTTATTGAAGTTGCGTTCGCCGACTTTGCTATCGTTTGGTGGCCCCACATGCGGTTTCAACATTGCCCTGACCTTCCGATTTCTTTTCATACCAACCTACAGAGTGGGACTGCTATGCTTTAAACATCCGGAAACGAGATAGCATGTCATTATATGTCGTGTGTATCCCACGACTTGCATAATCCACAATGTCGTGCCCTATGATTGGCTAAGTTGATCCGCAAGTCACATAACAAGGCTTCATGGTGACTATATAATAATTAAAGTTGGATAGATTATACAGAATTATTATACACCAACAAACATGACTTTTGATGGCACACCTGGTACTCACCGCATCTCACCGCATCAAATCCAAGGGTCTCCAAAAACTGTCCGGACGTCTCGACGTCCTCGCCGACGTACCATCAGCTACCGCCGTGACGAGAACATGGAGCCCCCTGCTGCGCGGACGAGACGGACGCAGTGTCGAAAAAGGTATCCCCCTTGAGCAGCGGACATGATGATTATAGATACGCGATCAGATAAGCATTAATCATCATTTTGGATTTTACCCTATTTTTCCAACACACACACACACCCTTTTAGGAACTACATGGGTTTGGTTGCCCTAGAACTTAGATATAAGTGGGATTATGTGGGATAGTATACCATTTCCAACTATCAAAATTTGAGTGCCCGATCCTTGGCAGAAGTGGAGGTTACCAACACGTTGACCAGCTTTGTTGTGTCAAAAATTGTCAAAGTTCGTACGCTCGTTTCCGCAGCAGAATCAACACTCTTGCAACAAAAGTGTGGTTGAATACCCATAAACTCCCTATTTTCCCTAAATACGGTGTCATGAACTCCCTATAAATATGGTTGATCCATATATATATTGTTCCCTATATTTGGGTCTGTCTGAAAATACTGTATACCCATGGCCATTTCATAGGGAACATGGTGATGAACCAGCGGTTATCCATGGGTATCCCATTTTTAGACAAAGCTCCATATCTAGGAGCCATGGCAGTGCCCAGGTCCAGACGCGCTCGGAGGTCTTCGAAAATGCCAAGACCTGGAGAGAACACCGCAACGAGATCAAGGCGTCAGTTCTTTCGACAAGTTCTGGGGAGTTCGTCAGATTAGTTGGCCTGTACCCCCACAAGGTGCTGCCCAAGAGTTAGCTATTTGGTTTTTGTGTCCCTTTTCCAATTCACATTATCCAACTAATTGTTTCATAGCCATAGACCTTAGTCAATCTAGTTAAATTGCTAATTTAGTTTTTTCCTGAAAATAGGGCTCTAAAATAATCCAAAATCCCTAAAACCCGATGTGTTTAAATGTTTTCCATTAAATATCACCCAGTTTCAAACGTTTGAACCGATTGATTGAAAGATGGTTGATGATTGGGGTTATAGTTTAAGGTTGGCTTCACCACACTAGATATGGTGGTTACATAGGTTCTACCCTTTTAGTCAGGAAACAATAGAGGCTCAACCACCCAAAAGAACACTGATTGGTGATATTCACAGTTATAACTGGCTCAGAAAACCTTACCTAAGTATATGTAAGCGATATATAACCTTAGTTGCAGGAGTTATTTCATCCCATTTACAGCTGTTAGAGGCCACAACTCTGGGTGGACTATGTTGCCATGGACCTGACGCCTCATCTGATGGTAGGTACCACAGATGCCCTACAAGACCCTGGCCTCCCATCGTGCAGCCGTGTGCTTGCCCTATGACACCACCATCTTCCTTTTCAACGAGTTGTATTCGGCCCCACGGCGAAGAAAACTGGGCCAGGGAGGAGGAATCTTCCATATAATATTTGTTTTCGACATGTGTATATATATATTTATATTTATGTTAATATATTATAATATATATATATATATATATTATAATATTATATATAATATAAAAATACATAATATAATATATATATATAGTACTATAATATATTCAAATATATATATATATATTATATTTTATTATATATATATGATATAATATATATATCTATAATTCATCATATATACAATGTATAATTTATATATTTAATATAGTATATTAAATATATGTAGTATATGAAATATTATATATATATATTAATATCTATTTTACATAATATATATACAATGTTTTTTTTTTTTTTTTAACATAATATATATATATATATATTATACATATATTATTTGTATATTATGATATATATATATATATATATTATACATATATGTTATTTATATACTATATATATATTATACTTCATTATACATAATAATATTTTATGATATATTTTCAAAAATATTTGATATATATATATAATATATGTAGTATCAATAATTTATAGTAATATATGTATATATAACAACATAATATTTGTATATATATTTGCAAAATATAATATTTTATCTACTCTATATTTAATATGTTTATATACTATAATATATTTAATATGATATACATATAGTTTCTAATGATATTTAGTAATCATTTGGGAATCACAAATGATCATATACTAATGACATATATACAGTATATATACATATATATATATATTACAATTACTAATGATTATTTGGAAATCACTATTGATTGCTAATAACCTATTTACAACTGGTTGGTATACACGTCAGGGATCGAAACAGATATGGATTTCACAAGAATGTAGCCACAATTAAGATGGTGGTGGTGCCCCGCAGTTGCAACTTTGTTTACAACCCCGATCGATCTCGGTCGATATCTCTACCAAAAACCAGCAGTAAAGTCTGAGTGAACCCCATCCAACTACACTTATAATCATTATAACGCAATTAATATTATACTTATACACCAACTTGGCATTTTATGCCTGGGGCAGCAATTTGTTGACCAACACGCCTGGCCACCAGGGCACATGCCCACGCCCGAGGCCAACATGCCCATCTTCGTTCCGAAGGATCTCTGGCGTTGGCTCATCGGTCCCCACACGTCGCCTCACATGGAGTACCTCCACGACCATCCCGGGGTGAAAGATGCAACCGATGCAACCTATGCCGTCCCGGACACTTGGTATTGGTGCCTCCAAATGTTGATTTTGTTGGTTGATTTTACTCCAACGTAATATGGATAGTTACAATATCAACCCCAGTTTATAGTTTTTTCAACAACTTAGTTCATTCTCACAGGGGCATCACTTTGTGGTGAGTGGAACCAAAAAGCATTGGGGTGAACAAAATTTGCAAATGTAATTGTAGTCATAGATGAACCATATAAATATAAATATATGTATATATATATGATATCCCCAGTTGCGGACCATTTAGAAACGTCTGGGATGTTGAGTAGGATTGATATATGAGCTTTGATGTGGGCGGGGAAGAATGTTCGCTTATGTTTCTTTCTATCAGGCACCCCTGCTTCGCAGCCACGCGGGGCAGAGCTATTCAAGGACCCCAATGGAAAAGCCATGGCACTCAAACAACCAAAACTGATTATTCATTGTAAAGGTACAGAAACTAAACACAAAAAACGCAGAATCAACTAAAAATAGTGTGTTGTATCAATTACCTAGACCTATTCTCCAAAAGTCAGTGGTTAGGAAATATGACCCTGGTCGACCAGACACTGTTGGAATGGGTTTAGTGGTACCGAATGATGTCTTGTTGGCAAATAGGTTAACTATATATTTAGACATTGCATTTCAATGAATTTTTAAGGTTTCTAAGGGTTCTTTGAATATCATCATATTTCCCATTCGATGACCAGTTTTTTTGTTTTCCTGGTGGTATACCGCCTGTTAGCATCGGCGCTGAGGAGTCCTCTCCATTCTTCGCATCGATCCACCAGCCGATGGGTGTCGAGCACCTTGGACCAACTGGACCAACTGGACCAACTGACCTGAAACCCAAAGATGACCACGTCAAACATGAGCTTCCAGGCGGTGCCCCCAAACCCTGAAGGTTTGTTGGTTGATGTTACCCATTCTTAACATCATCCAACTGTATATGCCGTAATCACCATAAACATCCACATAAACCCTAAGAAATAACTTATCACCTAGTTATAACCAACTATCTATCTACATTTACCGAAATCTTTGGCAGCCGCTGCGCACCGTTGCCTTCCCCGGCCAAGGCAAGGTTTGGATTGGTCCTCCTATAGCGACTGGGCGCTGCTGCCGTATCTCTTCTACTTCCAGGGCGTCCCCGAACTCTTTCTGCAGCTCATGGACTTTGAGGCGTGGAATTTGGTCGCCTCAGGTTACGGCTCCGTGTTTTTTCATAGCAGAACTATAAACGTGGAAAGCAAAAAATCCATATTCCACGGAAACCAGGAGCATTAATTGTTTTTGGTCAGCGTGGGGGAAATGATGAGCTTTTGTTTGCTCAATGAGTGGTTGAACCCAAGAAATGGATGTTTTTTGTGTGGTACACATTGCCAGTTTCATCCTTTTCCGGTGTAGTGCCGCTTTGCTATGGATTGGTGCCCATTGGATTTGGTGGGTGTTACTTATCTACTCAGGGCTTACAAGTTGTCGTTTTACCACCCAAAACTGGTACTTTACCTCAAACAACTGTTGCTTTACACTTTACACCTAAACAGCTTGGGATTTTTCCCCAACCATGTAGATAGGTCGGATAAGACCTTCATATCGGTGATAATCTAGTAAGTCATTCCCAACATTGTGAGTTAGTGAGTCACAATGCTTCAACAAAAAAAACCTATTTCCTGTGGTTACGATCACATTTTCCTGTGACCAATTCCCATTATCCACATCAAACAAAACTATGTAACCTTAACAACGAACCTTCCCTATGGATCCGTCCTTCCGAGGTATCAACATCCTTAAATGAAAGCCCACCAACAGGGCTAGTGAATATTTTTTTGCACCCCAACATCTGAAAAGGCCCAGTGGCGGAACCCTTCATGTGGAAGTGTTGGTTGAAATGTTACCCCACCGTTACTTCATCACCAGAACGCCTTGTGAAATTCTAGTGAACACAACCATCCTAGCCGACAAACTTAGTTTTACATAGCCATTTACCCATGGAAATCTCTGAAAAGTATCCCCTTCTCCCAAGGCCTTTGGCGCGCCAGGCCCTCCTCTCGGCCTCCGCCAAGATGAAGTCCTTCAACGATGAGGAGCTCGTGGCCTCCGTGGAAAATTGGCGGAAGGTGGCATGGAGGCGCCGAAAAATACGTCGCTCTGAAAAGGTGGCGAAAAATACGCTATTTCATAGGGGAACATCTCTTATATTATCTATTATATATCTATATATGGTTATATATTTATAAATGTATATGCTAGATTTCAGGGGGCTAATCTGTTTTGATTAGATGGGGAATGTCATATGACTAAAACGATTTGGGGATATATATATACAATATATATATATATGTAATGGGATAGTCTATGGGATATATATTATATCAGAAACAGTTTTCTCATAGAGATGATATGGGTGTGTCTGAACATGGGGGATTGACTTCCAAAATAGCTAGCCTCTGGTAAACGTTTACATAACTATGAAAAATCACAATTTTTAATGGGTAAAGCAAGTATAAATGGGCCATGTTCCATAGCAAACTGTTAGTTTACAAGAGGGGTATTGCCAAAATTATGACCAGGGGTGTAATTGGATGTAATTGGTAGTTTCTAAAATCTATGAGCAGGGTCAAAAACCCAATGGTTTATTTAAATATTATTGTTATATTGAGGTTCTACTGGAACACCAAAAATCCATGTTCCAACAACCGCTGAACCCCCTGTGTCCAGGCTTCTAGCGGCAGTGGAGAATGCGGAAGCGGGACGAAAAAACATCAAAACTTGGTTTTTGCCGGTGATACTTATGCTTTAATGTGGATTTGGCGAAAATCGAGGGATTTGACAGTCACATATATTTGGATCAACTATTCCAAGATATGGAATTGCTCAGAAGGGAGTTGCCACCATTTTGTACCCAAGTTCCGGCATTTGGGGCGAACATGATCTTTCCAGACCCAGGTGAAGGACATTGCCTTGTTTAGGATCACTTGGATAGCCCAAGCATGGGAAGTGCCAATGCATGGTTTGTTTCTTGATTAAAACTAGGTAAACATTAGAAGGATGTAAATAGTGTTTTACTGTATGTAATACTCTAGTGTTTGTTTTTTGTTTGTGCTATAAGTTTATAATGTGGGATTTTGCTAATCTTTAAATGATATTTCTCACCTGAGTTGCAGGAGTTATCCCGATTCTAACTGTCAAGGGCCATAACTGTAGATGACTGGACGTTCATTCTCCAACCGCAGCTTTGACTCAACAAGCGCCAGATCAGCGGGGCTTATGGTAATATCAAACCGTAGTAGAATAAGACACCTTTGTATATTCAACATGACCAAACAAGACTAACAAAACCTACTAAAGGCAGTGGTTGCAGGCATTTTCTATGTTGCCCCACACATTGACTGACCATAAGTGTTATTCAGTCGGAGGTTCAAACCGCTAAGCAGCTATCATCCACTGATTGTTGCAACCCTTATACAATAATACTACAACATACGATAATAGGTATTTAATGATAACTCTCTATAAATAATAGTGTCAAAGTGCCCAAGATTACAAGAGATAGTTGAATCATGTTGAAACACTTCAGAGGCCCTACTAAACTCGATGGCCCCTTGGACCGACCGAACCATGACTGACCATGCTACGTAAATGATGGACATAGGATATGTATGATATAGATGGGGGAAGTATGGGGAAAGCATCCACAAATTATGGCCAACATGTCTGGTTTAGAAGTGTAATTGTCCCAGAATCATCAGCCAAGCTTCAGTAGCCTGGCTACTGAAGATTTGTCACACACAACTGCCCGGTCCCGCAACGGCGCCAACAGGGTGTGACTCCCAGTGATGGGAAGTGGTTCTTTCTCATGTGAGAGTTGTAGCAATTTGCCCAGACTATTTGACCCTAGTGAAATGGTAATTGTATATAGCCCGGCCGTTGTTTTGCGATGTTTTGGGGTTTCTTGAAAAGGGGGATCCCCAAGTCACTATGGATTTCAATATTGACATGGTTCAATGACTTGGATGACGCAAGGGAGTACCCCTATGACTTTGGAAACCTCCATATTATACTCATATGGGAAAGCTCTAAATCGTCCCAATGACTTATCAAAAATGTATGGGATGTGATGGGAGGTGAATGGCATCTTTCTTTCTTTACACCTTGGGAGTAGCCCACTATATTTAAGGAAGTATTTGCAGAACAGCACAGTTAGATCCACCACATATATCCAAATTTAGTCGACATGTTCCCAAATGTAGGGACTTGGGATCCCTTGCAGAATTTTCCTTCATCCAATTCCAGGGTACTGGTAGTAGGCCAGTGGTATTTCACGAGAGATAGACCGATGGTGCAAAGATCGACTGAGACATTGTACCCCAGCGTTTGATTCATTCTTGCAGAAGATGTGGCTGGAAAATCGCTATCTGCAAGAATTCCACCACTAGCAACATGTATGTACTGGTATGTAGGACAGTGAAATGAGCAGACCGAGCAGACCCATCACATTCCACGAGCGTTATCCTAATGGAATTCCCAAAGTTCCGGACACTCCTCACCTCTTTCCATTGCAGGGTGCATGGGCGGTGGCGCCCTGGCTCAACAGGCCAGGCTCTTCAATTCAAAGTCGGTAAACCGACAGGTGAATGCTTGGTAAAACAGCAAATAACATACTTATATACGTCTACATAGTTGCTACTATACTTACTAGAAGTACATATATATATATATATATCATGAATTATCATGATATCATTGCGTTTTTTCCATAGCTACATAGTTGTTATACTCTCTCGATGTTTTCAGCTCAGGATGATTGATCAAGTGGCGGCCTCAGATGGCAACGACAAACCCGGCATCGGAGAATGTCATGTTTAGAATAGCTCAGTTACCAAAGTTACCAATGTATTTAGTTCTGTGGAAAGCTATTAAAATTATGGTGAGTTTTGGGTACCCCAGTTTAGGAAGCTTGAAAACGGCGGACATCGTTGCGATGACAGGGGAATCTAGTCAGGGAATACGCAGTTGTTTCACGCACCGATCGCACCCGGCAAATCAAGCATTCTCGTGTGACAGATAGATTGACTGCTTACTTGGAGGACATGAAACCGGCTACTACCCTCTGGCAATTTAACATAGCTATGGAAAATCACCATCTTTAATATGTAAATCAACTATATATGGGCCATTTTCTATAGCTTAGTTTACCAGAGGGTATGTCGGGTAGTCAACCGCATGGCCCATCATTGTCAGTATCGATTAGCGTGTTGGGATGCACAAATGGTGTGCTGCCGTGAGCAGACCAGCCATGTTTAGGCTGAGCAGGATTTTCTCAGGGAAGAGTTTCGCCAGAAAGAACATCCAAAGTGCTGAAATTCATATATTTCAGAATTATGAAGGAAGTCAACATGGACAGCACACACACAACAATGAATTCCATCATGAAATAAACACAAGAACACAAATCAATCGCATTCATCACATACTCCACCATACACCATCATCATCACCACCTCTGTCTCATTAAAAACATGTCAGCCATATCCCTTGCATCACCAGAAAGCCTTTGTGTATTATCCTTGTCGCATTCTCCTTTTTGATCTTCGTTGGTATCATTGCAATTGAATGCAATTGATGGTTTCACCACCAATTTTGGCCCACACATCCGGGAGCCATCGAGATTTCCCGGATCATAGATGTTGGGTAAACCATCCAACCATGGGCCGGCAACTTTTCCATGGGTTCCCAGCCATTCCCGGCCAGACTTAGAGAGTTTTTTTTTGGGGGGGGACAATGGTGATTTAGCCTCTGCTAATCAAACGTGACAATGGACCATCCCTTAGAAATTTACAATATTTAATTGGAAAATCATCTACAAATGGTGGATGTGTTCTTTTTTGCCACTTTTTATAAATTGTCGGAGGATTAAAAAAAAATGTTAAAATCTAGAAGTGAAACTTCTGGCGGGAATCCAATCAGTTCCAGCGAAAAAATCGCCAGGATGATGACTTTATCATCACTGGCGATCCCAGTAGCCCTGAGGATGCCAACTTTGACCGACAGGCCACCGCGGCTGTTCCGACGTTTCGAGCTGGGGGGTTGCTCGGCGGTTGGCTGAGTTGTTTTTTTTGAAATCATATATGTTATATAGCATTATAATGTCATGAAACATGTTTTAAATAACATTATATATAATGTTATGATATTTATATATATACATATATATATATTGTTTATATATTATGTATATCTGTACTATATGTATAGTATTGTATATAGCATATATACACAAAAGCTGTATAATATTTACATATAAATATCAAGTGTTGTTATATGAAACTATCGCTCAACGCTACGCCCAACGCAGTTCCCAGGTGGAAGCATTGCAGGAAGCGGTGTTGGATGACTCCTTCCAGGCGGCGCTGGGAGCGATTGTTTCAATGGAATTTTCCCATGAGCTGATGAGAAACATCATCGATTTATCAGATTTATAATGATTGATTAATAAACCAATGATTATTTAATTGTTATCAAACTATTTTAGATAAACTATAATTGGTGAATCATGGATTTATATCGATTTATAGTTGATTTACCTATTAAACATGGTGATGTTCCATGGTTTTTTGTATGTTTACCAGAGGGTATATATCTGGTTGGTGGTTTGGAACATGGCTTTTGTGACTTTCCATATATTGGCAATAGTAACCCCAACTGACTATTGGTCATAATTTTGGCAATACCCTCTGGTAAACTAACAGTTTGCTATTGAAAATGGCCATAGAAATAGTCGATTTACCCAGTGATAGCATGGTGTGATTTTCCATAGTTATGTGGCTGTTTACCAGAGGGTATATCAATTTATAGATTCATAAGTTAATGATAGTTAATGTGTATATGAAACATATTTTGGATAGGTACAGTTCTTTAAACATGGGAAACTTATAGATATTATTACCGCGCCCTCGAGTGGATAGAATAGGGAAAGATGAGCAAAGACATGACTGAAATAGAAACATGATTAACATTTCCATATTCTATCTACCCCAGGATTACATACTATATCAACATATGTAAATTATAGATACCTAGAAACCAATTCTGGAGGTTTAAAGTTCCGAAAAGGGTTTTGTGACTGTTTTGTGTCCTCTAGAAATGGATCTTAATTACCCAGGGGTTCACTGCTGCCCTTTTCACCCAGTCGCTCCATGAGTTGTTTTGTGGGATCAATGCAGGATGCTGCAATGTTGCATGGGGCTGAAACATTTATTGACATTTACCCCGAAAATAGCCCAGTTATGCGAGTAGATGTACCAGCACCATGGGGCATATGTTTTTGTTTTTTTTCAATCAACATTTGTCGTTTGTGGGTGGCATGGGGATGTATCACTGTATCTATATAGACTATATATCCATCTATTTTCACTTTGTAGCACTATCTGGTGAATCATAAGCATATATCAATATTTAAATTACAACAGATCTTATAAACATAAAGACACATATGTATATATATATATGTATATCACATGCTATATTTTATAACCATAAATTGTAACCACGTTTGTTCACTCTTTACCCACTCAAGTTATTGCCAAGGTCGTTACGTCTCGAACGGAACGCCAGGAGCTCTTGAACGGCTTCTGCCGAGAGCATTGCCACCACTTCGAGGACGACCTGGAAAAACAATGTGGATCTGACACTGGTTTCACAAGCAAAGATAGTGAACAGACATGGTGGTTTCCATAAAAAGGTGGTACCCCAATAGCTGGATGTGTTATTCTGGAAACTCCTTTTAGAATGGATGATTTGGAGGTATCCCCGTTTCAGGAAACCTCCATATATGTGATCATGATGTATAATATCTATAGATAGAAAAATGATAAGGTCTGCAGCATGCTGCGGCATCTGCAGCCAGCCGGCCCTGAAACAAGGAGGGGCGACATGGAGAGGTGGCATGTTTGACTGTCGAAAACCTATGGAGAGGTTCATCATGTCAATGGGAATTTCAGGATCCTAAAATGGAGGTACGTTAGTAAGGGCATCTGTTTTGTTGGGATATTCCCTGAAATTTAGGCCTGAAAACTAGGCCTTAAACATATATGGAATCGGTACCTCCAATAAATCGGTTCCTGAGTCATGGCCATTGATCATGGAACATCTGGAAATGTGAATGGGATCAGCTTTAACAATCCTTTTCAGACGTTCAAATTCCACATTGATTGTCGGAAAATATTGAAGGAATGTAACGGAATATACAACCAACATGTACCAACATGTACCAACATGTACCAACATGTACCAACATGTACCTATATAAAAGATGATAAAAGAACAAACATGTGTTCACCAACACACATGATGAACAATCCACCTGGAAGCCCATGCCATTGCCATTTTGTTGATCTCTCCGCTGGTGAACGAAGGGAGCACTTCGGAGCAGTTCGG